CTATTAAAAGGTTGCGGTCAACCCATTTTAACAGTAGAAGTGGCAAATAGGGAATGTGCAGTTTGTGTACTTTTTGTTTTGCTTCATCTGTTTATAACTTTGATAGCATAGTATAACCTTTAAATTAATCAAATTCATCTTGTCTTAGGCGTATGGGTTAGAGAGCAAACAGCCCTCAAAGAACAGACGTGGTCAGTTAATCGTATTCGACCTTCAATGTGTTTTTTATCAATTTTCTCATGAACACTCTGCGCACAGCTCTATGAGAACTCTCCTGGGGCGAGTTTTCTATAATCCATGAAAATAGGAGCATGGACTGCGGCAATCCAGACTAAGCTTTGCCAAATCATCAAACAATCTGCACACTGTAATTTATTTCAGCTTAGTTGGTCAGTTTTTTCCTTTTATTTACTCACATTTATCTGATAATGTATCAACAGCTTTACGCATCCTTTTTGACTTAAAATCAAAGTGAATTCATTTTCATGCATGTATAATACATATAATTAAGGTATGGATTGTCTTGAAAAATTTGTTTCAAGATTTCTTTAAAAAACAAACTATTCCCCATCTACGTGTAGGGTAATAGGTGCTTCTTTCTCATGTTGCTTGAAGTTTCATGGACAAATTATGTTCATTGTCCCTTATGTGGTAGATAATATCACAACAAACATTAAATTAATTCCTAAAGCTTTTCTATTGAGCCATGACTTACATGTAAATAGTTATGCTTCTTTTTCAATTGTTTGGGTGCCATAGATGTTCATTTGGCCATCTTTAGTTTTTAACTTTGCTGGCAATATGTACCCCCTTTCCTCCTCAACTTGTTTATCTTTCCTGCTGCTCAGTTATTTCCAACATTCTTGCTGTTTCAAAATAAAAACGACACATTTCTTTTTAAACCTTGGAGTTTCCTGCCCAGAGAAGGAAGCAAGAAAAGCGAAGACGAGTCTCACGAAATAATAGAGAAATAAAATCGGTGCAACAAACTCCCAAACCAAGAATCAGTTACAAGTACCAGTATGTACCATAGAGTCACCTTTTATAGTCTTCTAATGAATTCTTGTTTTCTCAATATCCTATGAAAGTTATTCATTTGATCAGTTCTTACCCTAATTTACCCACAATGATTCTCATACTGGTGAATCGACAACGAGAGACTGAAGAGTAAGGTTTCGTGTTCTGGTCTGATGGACAAAATTAATACTCATAAATACACTTGCACATTCAAAGACACACACACCACACACATGCACCTTCATACATAACTAACTCCTTCATTCAGTACTGCAGTGACTTATTTTAG